GGGGGCAGAGAGAGAGGGGATGACACGCAGCAAAGGGCCGCAGGTCGGATTCGAACCCTGGGCCGCTGCAGCAAGGACTCAGCCTTGGTACATGGGTCGCCAGCTCTACCCACTGAGCTAACTCCCCCTCCCCCCCCGGGGATTATTAAAGTATTTCTGATTTTGATTCTGATTATGTGGGGCAATGTGTCATGGTCATGTTGGATTTTGTTGCTTAAAATGCTAAATGTGCCATTATTATACAACATTTTTGTTGTATAATATCTGTCAAATGTTTTGCTTATGCATATTTATCTGATTGAACACAGGTAGTCTGTAGTGTCTCACATCATTTTAATACTGAGGACTGGGGTACCACAAGGCTCTCTGCTTATAACAATACTATTACTCCAACACAGACTTACAACATCCTTTTTTATGCAGATGATGCAATCTTATATACATGTCTCTTCTCCAACTTAAGAACAATCTACTAACAATCTTCAGACATCTCTGCAGAACTTCAAACATTTTTTTTTTGTTGAAAAGTGACATTGTATTATCCATTACAGTTTAAAATAACATAACAAAATGAGAAAAATGTAATGCTTTTTGCTTTTTCACCAACTTATTGGTGGTTAAATAGAAATGAGAAAAGTCTTTATTTTAACAGTCTATTTTAATTTAATAAATGAATGTGTATTCTGTTGAAAATAAGTAAATAAAAATACAATAATGTGTAAAACACAGATGAATACATAAAATAGTAATTCATTTAAGAAAGAAAGACACTAATTACCTGGATTTATAACAACTAATGTCAGTTCTGTTAGAATGTTCCCAAATTCAAATGTGCACATAATGCAATTTGGGCTGCAAAAAATTTGTGTGTCTACCTGTTGAGTCTCTCCAGCACCGAATCGTCTGCCAGGGAGATTTCATCCATGAGAAACACTCCTCCCTCCTTCATGGCCAGCACCAAGGGACCGTCATGCCACTGAAACAGCCTGCTGTCCTCACCATCAGTCTTCACACACACACAGACAGAGGAAGGACAGACTTAGATGTCAAAAAAAAAAAATTCATGGATTTCGTTGTCTTAGTACTTGTACTTTGTGCAATGACAATAAAGTTGGATCTAATCTAAAAAATAAAAAAATAAAAATCAGATTCAATCATCATATTGTACTTCATATTTATTCCCAATTGAATTGCATCAAGATCTCGTTTGAAACGTTTGAAAAGGGGTGAAACATACTGTATCTTTGTTTATATGTTATTAAATATGTCTGGTTTTATGTAATTTCTATTTTTCTGTCAACATGACAATGCGTTTCAGGAATAATAAGTAGGCTAATGTCAGCTTTTATTGTTATGTATATGGATCACTTCTGCAAACTCAAAAAAACCCTTGGGTTTAGCCTCCTCTGATTCTTTCCTCTGCCTAAAGATGTGACTTTTCCACCCACCAAAGACTTGTTAGTACCTGATGTGTGTGTCTGACAGGTCGCAGGCCTCCCAGGAAGTCCGACGTCTCCATGTGTAGGTGACAGTTGACTGAGAAAAACTTCTGTCCAGCCAAAGCAGCAAACAGCTGGCAGATTGTAGTCTTTCCACATCTGGTGAGGGAACAGGAAAAAGAGCTTAGCATGATAAAATAACCACACATGCAGTATGTTAACAAGGTAGGACACCCCAGACCGGGGTCTGGTTTTTTGCAGGAAGGAGTATCTGAGACAGACAAAGAAGATCTAAAGGAATATCTGCTGAATTTGACCAGGAAGCTGTTGGTCTGCACTGACTAGATACTTACACGCTCCTCAATTATTATATCAAGCTACAGCCAAGGAACTAAGAGTCTAACTAATGATATAGTATGTAAAATAAGAACAAAAATGAACTGAAATAAGTTACAGAACACGATTATGCAGCCATGCTAACAGCTCTGTGAGCCTGTATTTAGGGACAGCGGTGCATTAAGCTAAATGTTAACATTGTCATGCTAACAAGCTCACAGTGACACGATGATGTTAAGTAGGTAGATGTTTACCGTGTTCACTATCTTAGTTTAGCATATTAACATGCTTACATTTGCTAATTAGCGAAAAACCTGGGGAGTTATTAGGATTAATCATCTGGGAACCATGAACATCAGTAATCTCATCTGTCCAGTAGTTGTTGGGATATCAGTCTGGAACAAAGTGGGGGATCAACCGTTGCTAGCAACCCTAGAGTTGGTAAATGGTAAATGGACCTGTACTTGTAAAGCGCCTTTCTAGTCTTCCAACCACTCAAAGCGCTTTTACACTACGTGCCACATTCCCCCTTTCACACACAAG